TTTGAGAGGAAATTGCGCGTAGCTTTATAACACCTGGATGCATCATATGAAGATGAGATTTGTTTTGGTTATAGATCATTACTATGTGTAAATAATTTATTATAAAATAATTGTCAAAAAAAAACACAAGATCCAATGATATATATTAATTTAAAAATGCGCGAAACGTCCAATATTTCTTTCCACCCCCTGTATTACTCGTGATTACTGTATCTATGTATACAAGCAACAAATATTACTTCTGAACGAGCTTTTTCAGTTATTGGCAATACACTTACTCGTACTAGAAATCAGTTGTTACCTGAAACTGCAAGAGCTATTCTTTGTGGCTAAAAATTGGATCGAAAATGGTATTGGTGAAAATTAGGATTTTATTAGAATTTCAAAGTTTTATTTTATACGTAGATCCCGATCCGTGTGATATTGGGCACGGAGGATAGTCTGATATAGAGTACATGTTCACCAATAAATCCCGAATATATGAAGGTGTACCAATAGGGTGCCGACTAATGAATCAAAACAAAAATAATTCATTAGTCTTGGCGTCGCGATAAGAGTGGGATCGTGACGAGAAAAATGGGAGGAAATTCAACTATAAATAGAGAAGACTTTAGAGTAGAAGAAGAAGGAAAAAAAGGAATTAGTTCAATAGAACTATAGCGTTAATTAATAAAATTAACATTTGTAACGAATCTCTTAAAAAAATAAAATAAAGTTTATTATCTTTAAATAAACACACACCCCTTTGGAATTATTATTGACCTGTCCCAAACCCTTTGATTAAGAAAAGTAGTCTACCCTGAGACTACACGAATTGTTATAAAGAAACCACGTTACTACGATCAACGAATTACCTATAAGAATTAGCGACACCATTATTAAGAGAAGGTTGATTATGGAACCTCGTAATCGTACAGTCTCACGGCTTGCTCGGTAGATTCCCCACATCCAATCCATCGGGTAACAACGTCAATAAAACGAAACGATATAGTAATGCGTAAATATATGTACATGTATATCGAATTTTAATCTTGCAATGTGATTTAATTTTGAAGCTAGCTACACATAAACCAATTATACATGTACATGAACTAGTTTGTTCGGTTTGGTTTTGGTTTGGTTTGGTTTAACCGAACCAAACCAAACTGAACCTTACATCAATGGCTAGCTATCAGATCATATGATTTTGTAAGGAGTAAGCCAATCAAATCGCAAGATAAGAAATATAATCAATTATGTTGATTATAATTAAGCAAAATTTCTCAAGGAACATTTTTGTTAGAACTCAAATATAAAATTTCGAACTTTTTCCATTACACGATGATCTTGCGATTTGATTGGTACCCCTTTCACGTTATTTCTTATCCTGATTTTTTATTTAATTTTTTCATTTGCTAATTGATATGAGATACATGTACATGTAAAATACATTTGACAGAACGAATGATTATAAAATTGTCCGCCTCATTGCTGTTTCTTCTATATCACAACCTACGTTTTATATCTTTATACAAGGAATAATTCATTGTCATTATAGGTTTATATAGATATCGGTATGTGAACTTAGACCACCGTAGATTAAACAATCTCATGATTTGCTAACACCTTCTACAAGTATTGTTGTTAAATATAATGTCAAACCAACATTGTGAGACAGTAATTCAATTAATAGGCTAAAAATTATAATAAAAAATTTATTTGGTCAACCAATCGTATGTGTGTAATAGTCTCTCTTTTTCGAAACAAATAGAATGTTAAAGAAATTGACCAAAGAAGTAAGGGGTCTTTTTTATAAGACTTTCTCGAGCTCTTTGAAAAATGCATTATAATTAAATGAAAACTTATAAATATTACTATTATCATTATTTTTTGATGACGCTATAGTAGCATCATTATCACTGTTCTCACTTTCACCTGATGATGCTATATTATTACTATTAACAAGATCTCTGACGTGTTAACATGTCAATAAAAAATAAAAAATGCAAATAAAGATCGTACAGTATCAAATAGGAAAGAAAAAATATCAAAAGAAAATTAAACATGAGTTTTGTGTGTCTCTCTGTGTATGTGTTTGGAAACATTAAAATAAAGAAATAATTCAAGTATATAATTATTAATTGTTTAAAAAAGAGTGGAAAGTAATTTATAAATACCTAGCAGGAAGAAATTAATAGTGAGTGAAATGGAGAAAAAAGATCATTATTGTGCTTTTGAGACTTTATCCGAGTGAATAATTTCATCAACCGGGCGTATCTCATTGCATAGGAACGCTTTCCACAATTTGACTTCAGGGTTTCTTCGAGACAAAATGGAAAGTGAATGAGACATTTGGTGGCAGTGACTTTGATTACCTGTATGGAATTAAAATTTATTATTTTACACTGATGAGTATTACAAAAAGTATTTGTTGAATTTGAAATAAAAATAAATACAAATTATTCTTCCTGATTTAATGGCTTTTCTCCTGCCTGCTTCTTTTCTTCTGCCTGCTTCCACCATCTCTTGTAATCAACATCATTGGCATGATCAAGTTTGAATAGAAAAGACTCCTCCAATTTATGAACATCGCTTTTAGCAAAAGATAAGCCGATATCAAGAGTAGAAAGGATAGTTGTAGAAGCCCAAACATATGCGTCTTTATTTGAAAAATGATATACGACTGCCGCAAACTGCAATGTATGTAGAACATAACCCGTGGCCACAGTATTTTTATATTTTTTATGTTTTGTATCTTTTAATAAAAAAAGTAGAGAATATCCAATAAAAAAAAAGATTAAAATAACAATTGATCCGAAAAAAGGAAATGATCTTTTTCCATAAGTAGCAGCAGTTATAAATACTATGAAGACATTGTAAAGAAAATTGGTGCAAAATAATATATATATAAATTTTCTGTAAGCCCTGAAAACCTTCTCGTTATAAGGATCTGAATTTTGTTTTTGATCTATTTTTTCCGATGATCTACCTATAAAGTTTCTGACACTGAAAAACCTCTGATCTGAATTTTGATTATTTAGATGATAATAATAATAATAATCACAAATAGATAATATAAATAAACAAAATGCGGCTAAAATCATTAATATGGTATAAATTTGTAGTGTGAAGAAGAAACGCGGTGGATATATTTCAGTGAAGGAAGAAAAAAAGGAAGGAACTAATAGCAACAAAGGTGGAAAAAGTATTTGCATAAAATCATTATATAATCGTGATTTAAATCCAACAGGGTGACGAAGATAATTATCAACAAAGAAAAATTTAAATACGATTGGAATAATGCGAACAAATATAAATTTCAAATCTTCACTTGGGGTTTCGCGGTCATCACTAACATTAGCGTGGAATGGAATCGGGATGGATACATTTACATTTAAATTTAATCTGTTGGAAGTCTCGTTCACTTTTGTGTCAATACATAGGGGTTGCATAAAGAGTTGCATAAAGAAAAGTAAATAAAAAACCGAGGCAAATACACTTTTCCGTCGTCTAGTAAAGGTATACATTTGGTATTCAATTTAAATCAGAGAAGTGCGCTTTACAAAGTCTGAGTAATGGACGTAGTGGATAAATGTATGAATCTTTGATAAATACATGTGTGTGGCTTATTACATGTACAATGAATCCATGTTTGGGAATTGAGTGTAATCGATCGACGTATAATATTCTATTGTAAGCAAAAGGCTTGTAATGCTAATTATCATTGATTATAACAAAACATCTAAGAAAGTGGGGGATTCCTTCCTATTTTTTCATGGCAAATGAGAATTACGATATATGGCTTATACATCGATCTTTGAGGCTATGTGACTAATGTGATTAATTTGTTAGAAGTCATACATTATTTTTGAGGCTATGTGCGTATATACGTTCATGAGTTAATGATATCTGACGAATGACGAACTTTTCGCCAAGCTAATTTTGATTGATGAATTGACGAAACCCATGGCGATTAATAAATCCCCATGACTATCGTTAAACAAAGTATTACATAGCGATAAGTTAAATCTATGTAATTTAGAGCTAAACAGTCGATTCGGTATTAAGTTGAAACTACCTGAAACCGCTCAACTTGTTATATTGATGAAAACCTTTCATTAAGAAAATGTATATGACGAATGAATTACATGTATATGACAACTGATTTTTTTTAAATTTATACATTGTACGTGTACATATACAATTAAACTAGATTAAATAAAGTAAATGTTGCAGATTAAAATGAATTATTTGGATAAAATCATCATAATTTCTTATAATTAGTGATTTTTTTATAATGATGAATTTGTAAATATAGAATAAAATGAAAGTTTATTTAATATTTTATTTCAATCTAATTCATAGTTTATTTAATATTTTATTTCAATCTAATTCATTTTAATCATCACAATAAAAAATCTAATTAGTATATACTGAACAGAAGATTTATTTGAAGAACAAAAAACTCTATATTAAAAGCTTTTGTAATTAATAACATTAGTATTATCTTCTCTGCTCAGACTAGTCAATCATCACAAGTTTTGTCAATTATTATAGATTTATTAATTATTACAAATTCCATCAATTATTAGTTTTATCATGTTATCATTATAAGAGTTCCTTGTTAGAGATAATCAATCAAAAAATAAAACAAAAAAATTTAAAACAAAAATAAAATAAGTATAGCTTATATTTCAAATTTTATCTATAAAAAATATTTCTTGTGAAAATTTACTATAAAAATAATCTTTTACATGATATAATTCTAATTCTGAAATATTATTAATATTTTATATCTTGTAATTTGATTAATTTATTTCTTAAAAATTACATAAAACTAATATTTTTTATTATAATTAAATTATATTTATAAGTATTTCCAGATAAGTTTAATTATATATCTTTAATTTATATTTAACTAATTAGTATTTTATAAAATTATAATAATTATTATTATAAATTTATCTTAATTATTATTAATAAAATAATAAAAAATAATTATCTTTTTTACTTTTTTATATTAGAACTATTATTTTTTTATATAATTCATTATAAAAATATTAATATATTAGATAAATATTAATAAATTATTTTTTCAAAAAAATTTTTAATTCTGTTCTCATTTAATTAGGTTATTAAATACTGAAATTGATTTAAATATAAAAATTTTTATTATATAATATAGACTTTTTAATAATTTAAAATATAAATATAAAAACTTTATAAATATAAGTAATTGATATAAATATTCAGAATATTAATCTGGTACATAAAATATTATGTAATATTATCAATTTTAAACTAATAGATATATAAAACTGGGATTGCTTTATTTAATAATAAATATAATAATATAAATGTTTTTATTATCAGTTTTTGTATCCATTAACAAAAAAATAAAAAAATATTATCTATTTCCAAGTACAAAGTATAAAGAATAATGGTAAGTTAGCTTTAAGTAAATAATATCTGGAAATCTGTAGAAATTATGTGAATAACAGATTTTTTTAAGTCTATAATATATGATACAATCAATTAAATTAAAAAATTATCAAGTATTATATTACTTTCCAGATTTGAAAGAACTTTAATTCTTATAATTAAATAATATTGCATTCTTGACTGATTAATGCAGATTAATAATACTATTATTGTAACTAAAATAACTAAAAGACTTAAATAAAAAGATTCTAACTTGAAAGTTTTTATTTATATAATTCAATATATCTTAAAAATATTTTTAATAATATATTTTTTTATTATTATATTTATAGTAGTTAATATAAATATCTAGAATTTATTATGATAGATAAGATATTTTATTTTTATTATTAACATATACAAAAATTTTATATATATATTCTCAAATATAATTATTAATTATTTATAAAAATTTAATAGTTAATTTTTTTTTCTTCCATTCAATCATTATTAAAATATAATTCTTTATACTTCTTACTAATTGAAGAAAGAAATCTTTATTCAAACCTATCTATTCTATTTATATTATTATTTAAAATTCTATTATTAAAAGTTTTTTTTTAATTAATTATAAATTTATCTTCTTTTTCACCTTTTTCTTAAGTATAATCTACAAATTCTTGATAAAATTAATATCTAGCAAGTAAGAAGATCAATCAAGAATTTAAATACTATAATAATAAAAAAAATTAATTATTTTGTCTGTATTGTAAATTAGAGAGTTATTTTATTAAAAATACAACCTATAATCTATTATAAAAATATAGAGAAAAAGATTTATTTCAAGAATTTTTTAGCATTAAAATTTTCAGTAAACAAGACAAATATAATTGGTTCTTGCATACTAAAAGCATCCCAAGCATAAATCTTATAGAGATACTTTATCATACTTTTATATAGTTGTGATATTTTATAATGATATCTTATTAGTTGAATATTTCTAAATATTTGGAAAATTATTTATTAGAAAAAATTATGTAAGACTAATTTTGATAGATATGTTTCTGTTCCTATTCAAGATGAGTTGTAATATAATAGGACTATAAAAGAGAGATCTGTAATGGATAATAAATATCAAATTGAAGATTTTTTTAAGATATGTTAAATTGTATGAATAAAAACTTTTAAGTTAGGATCTTTTTATTTAAGTTTTTTGGTCATTTCAGCTGTAATAGTGATATTATTAATCTGTAATAATTAGTCAAGAATGTAATATTATTTAATTATAAGAATTGAAGATCTTTCAGATCTGAAAAATAATATAATACTTAATAATTTTTTAATTTGATTGATTATATTATATATTATAGACTTAAAAAAATCTGTTATTTATATAATTTCTGCAGGTTTCTGGATATTATTTGTTTAAAGCTGACTTATTACTATTCTTTATACTTCATACTTAGAAATAAATAATATTTTTTTTTATTTTTTTGTTAACAGATATAAAAACTAATAGCAAAAATATTTACATATTATATTTATTATTAAATAAAGTAATTCTAATTTTATATATATATTAGTTTAAAATTGATAATATTCTATGATATTTTGTGTATCAAATTAATATTTTAAATATTTATGTTGATTACTATATTTATTTTATTATAAAGTATATATATATAATAATAAAATATAAATTTAAAGAAAATTATATTACATAAATTTATAATTCAAGTCAATAATCTTTAAAAAATTAGTTTTTTTTAAAGACTTCAAAAAAATAAATTACAAAAAATATTAAAGAAACTTACAAAATTATTATAGTTATTATCTTTCTTATCACTATTATCTTCTTTAATTATATTTTCAGCTTGTAACTTTTGATATTTTTTTATTACTTGTTCTGTCTTTTTAATTTCTTTTTTTGCTATCTTTATTATTATTTTTGATATTACTAACTGATTATTTTCTATAGCTTGCTAAATATCTAATATATGAATAATTTTTAATATAAATTTTAAGTAAATTTAAAATATTACTTATCATAAATACATGTATATCTCTTGTTACTAATTTATCTTTGTATTTAATTCCTAAACTTGATAAATTAAGAAGAATATTATAGATAGCTAGAATAAATATATAATATATTATTAATAATACTTTCTTTTTATATTCTTTAAATATTATATAACTGATATTTATAAGTAATTTATTATTGTAAAAGAGATTTTTATATGTAATTTAAGTTTTTTTATTTCTCTTTTATTTAACAAGACAGATAATAAATATATTATTATTAACTCTTACTAATTTCTCTTTATCAAATATTGAAAAAATAATATTTCAAATAGTAAAAGTGTAATTATTATATTTATTATAATATTTTGCTCTTATTTAAAATTATCTAATAAAAATAATTAGTAAAAAATCTATAGATTTATATAATTTATGATGAATCTGATAAATATATTACTTTATAAATATGGATATCCATGCTAGTGATAGGAATTATAACTAGTTGTAACTTGTTGTAATTTTCTAATTGACTATCACAATTCTGTTATAATTCTTTAATTAATTACTGTAAGTCACAACTAATTGAGAAGTCATCTTTAATTTATGCATTATAATTTATACTATTAATATAATTTTTAGTATTTTTTATTAAATATTTCCTTAATATTTATCAATATTTCTTAAAGATTGAAAAGAAAATTATAGAGATTAACTTTTTGACTATTTTTTTATATACTTATTATATAGAATATTAGAAAAAAGAACTTTAATAAATCTTACAGATTGATTTTTAATTTTAAAAGTAGTTAAAGATAAGTATCTTTCAGAATATTTCAGATAATTTATCAGTAATAATTAATTTTTTAATTAATTTGATTTATTCTTGTATTTGATCATTTAAAAATCAATAGAGATAATATATACTCTCAATTTTTTTGTTTAGAATATTTATTATATGATTGAATTCTTTATAAGTTAAAGATCTTTTATTATTTAATACTTAAATAGA